GGGGGGATTTTTTTTTGTTTTTTGTTATTTTGGTTTTGGGGGGGGGGGGGGGGGGGGGGGGATTTTTTTTTTTTTTTTTTGGTTTTGGGGGAGTTTTTGATGGGTTTTTTTTTTTTAGTATGTTTTTGGGATTTGGGGGGTGGGTTTTTTTTTTATGTTTTTTTGATGGGGGGGTTTTTTGTTTTTATTTTTTAGGGGGGTTTTTTTTGGTTTTAGTTTTTGTGTTTTTGGGGGGGTTGGTTTTTTTTTTTTTATTGTTTTTTGGGGTTGTATGGTGGGTTAGGTGGGTTTTGGGATTTTTTTATTTTTTTTTATGTTTGATTTTTGTAAATTGGTTTTGGAAGTTTTTTTGTTTATTTTGGGGGGTGGGGTGGTTTGATTTTTGGTTTTTGTTTTTTTGGGGGGGGGGGGGTTTTTGTTTTTTTTTTTGTTTTTTTTTTGATTTTTTTTTTTTTTATGTTTTTTTTTTTTTTGGGTGTTTTTTTATTTTTTTTTTGTGTTTTTTTTTTTTTTTGTTGGGGGGTTTTTTTTGGTTTGGGGAGGGGTTGTTGTTTTTTTTTTTTTTTTTTTTTTTTTTTTTTGGGTTTTTTTTATTTTTTTTTTTTTTTTTTTGACAACAATGAATATACAATTAAAAATTTTTTATAACAAATATTAATTAAATATATAAAAATCATCACTTAAATTAAATCAGTGGTTTGATTTTTTTTTCATCTAAATAATTCAAAAAAAAAAAAAAAAATGTGCTTGAATAAAAAAGTTTTTTTGAGGGGGTACCACGTGAGCAAATAAAATTAATTGAGTAAGTGCATGAAACTTCACTCAAGTGTCACCACATGCTCCAGAGGAAAACCTCCCTCAATTCAGTGGCACTCACCAGATATCGTTTTTTTTTCTAAACTTGATAGGCAATCGCGTTTTGGTGAGTGCCAGATGTTATAAGGATCCTCAATCACTTAGCCCCTCTGCAATTAGAGGCTAATTAGATGGCGAAACATCCTCCAAAATATTTACTCCATCAAAAGGGAAAGAAATAAAGGAGAGTTCATAGCGTAATTCCACTAAAAAAACATTTATTATATAAAATGTACTGAACTCACAAAGGAAAAATACAAGCATGCCCAACATCCACAATATCCACAGAAGCTGGGAGTGTATCATTTAGACAGCATCTCACCTGATCCTCCTCGCTGCTAGCGAGCGGCACGTCACTTCCGGCAGGGGATGTGAGGTTGATGCCTCACACCGGCTACCACATCTAATAAACAAATTGATATATTGAGTTTTTCAATACAAATACATTACTTTCTTCAGAATTTTTTTTTCCGTCGTTAAAGAATTTCGTAACTTTAGTACCCTCGTCACTTTTGATATGAGACTAGCATGCAAAAAAAAAAACAGATGGTCATTCGTCTGATATTCTGATTGTGTATACGTGGCTTAAGGGTGTGTATCCCAGTGTAATCTTAAGGGGAGTAAGTTTTCCATCAAGGGGCCTGTAGTGATCATCTTCAGAGGCTACTCAGAACTGAGTATATCCTGTTTCAAATGGTCTTACAGTTTTTGATAAATATGATTATTGCCTACCTAGCAATCGCCTACCAGTCACATTGAGAAACAGTCATGCCTACAAGAAGTCAGTGACCTCACTGGACACTGATTGACCATTCATTCTAAAGAGAAGAGTTGATTTCTAAAATAAAACTAGTTAAAATTGCTCAGTGCATAATCAAGCACATGCAGCCAATAAAAGTATGCATGTTTTTGGTCCAACTTTATCAAATCTTCTCTATAACTTATAAACCTGATTAGGTTCGGCTGGAGGTGCAAGCTAGTTTTTTCCACTCCCCATTGACCTCCTATTATGGTTATCCCCTAGGAAACTCAAGACCATTCTTTGCCCTCCTCTCCCACTCTCTTAGTGCCTCTGGGACATAGTGTGCAAGACATACTCTCTGAAGTCACCACATACTCTGGTGGCCTCCTTTTTTGGGAACCCATGTTTTCTCCCTGGACAAAATTCTCAACAATTTGCATGGTGAGTTAACAAGGGCCTCTACATGGCCTCTACAGACTAATCCATTTTTTTTTAGACCACAAGGGAATAAGACAGCCCTCTTATTTCCTGGAGACCTTACAAATGCCCCCTTTAGAGACTTTCTGCCTCTGTCAAATCACTCATTATCTACAGACATTTATCTACAGACATCAGGATCAGGTGGATATCACTACCAGGACTCTTTATGAAAATATGTGTTTGCATAGCCTAGGTATGCATAGAAGCGTTTCAGAGTTGTGCTCTCTGTTTGTGGACTAAGGCCCTAAACTTCCTTACCAAATGGATTGGACGTCAGATTTAGGTGAAACCATAGAGCACAGGGAATTCTCAATATTTTCCTGGTGGAGCAAACTACAAAGTGTTGTCCTGTTGATGTCTTTTGTTCCGACACAGTTGACTAAGATCCACTCTGATGCCTCACCAGGGGTGGACTGAAAACTCATGGGGCCCCGGGCAATAGGGGAACATGGGCCCCCTGTGTCCTTGCCCATACCCAAAAAAGCCTATGAAAAAGCCAATGAAAGGTAACAGGGGCATCTCATGGGGCCCCCTACTGACCCCGGGCCCTCGAATGGTCAGTCCACCTCTGTGCCTCACCCCAATGTTTCAGGGGGTGCAGACAGGAGGGTAACATGTTCCACATTTGGTGGACTTGCCCAAAGGTTCAACGGTTCTGGACCAGAATGTTTAATTTTCTTTACTCTATGACTGGGCTGAATGTCCCAAAGAATGTCAAGACAGCAGACAGGAGAGAAAAAAAATAATGAAAATAATAATAATAAAAAAAGATATGATAAAAAAGAAATAAATAAAACCAGCGTGCCCCCCCAATCCTAACCAGATCCTTTAGGTCTGGTAGGAAGGTTCGGGGGGACCCCACGTAATTTTTTTTTTTAAAGTGTGTGGGGTTCCCCCTAAAAGCCATACCAGGCCCTTTAGGCCTGCCAGAGCCTTGGTCCGAGCACAGGCCTGGCAGTCCAGGCCAGGAAGGGGGTGGTGGTGAACAAGCCCCTCTCCATGTCTTACCAGGCCACATGCCCCCGGCATTCAGATGGAGTCCCCATGCTGATGAGGACAAGGGCCTCTTCTCCACAAATCTTGCCCGGTGGTTGTGGGGGACTGCGGGTGATGTCACTGCTAGCTTCGCCCAATTGCTTAAGTCTGACTCGCAAATGTCAGATTGTGGTGAGTGATTGGTGGGTCTGCAGGCGTCATTTTTTTTTTTAATTTGGTGAGTCGGTGTCCTTGTGACAATGCTGGACTGACGATGGATTACAATGCTTTTTTTTTTTTTTGCCTTTTTTTTTAAAGTAAAGGACTTGTCAAAAACTTTTTTTTTTTTTGCTTTTTGTTCAATATGTCTCAAGAATGTTTTCAAAAGTCTGGAATCTTTATTTCTGCTCAATTTTAACCCTTTAGTGAATGGGTAGGGGTGCAAGTACCTCTTACTCATTTACAAAGAGGGGGCAGCATCAGGATGCCCCCTTATATAAAGGGGTACCCTGATGGTAGTGAGCCCCCCTGCCCACAGACCCCCACAAGCACCGGGAAAGGTTTGTGGGGAAGAGTCTTATGTCCCCATTATTATGGGGACACCATCCCCATACTGAGGGCATGTGGCCTGGTAAGGCATGGAGGGGTGCTCATTCATCCCCTACTTTCTTTGTATGCCAGGCCTGTGCTCAGATCAAGGGTCTGGTAGGAATTTAGGGGGGGGGGCCCACGCTCTCCCTCTCATTTTTTTGAGGTGAGGTTCCCCTTACCAGGCCTAAAGAGATTGGTATGGCTATTAGGGGGAACCCCACACACTTCCCCCCCCATTTCTGGGAGGTGGGGGTTCCCCTTTAAGCTCCTACTAGGCCTAAAAGACACTTTTTTAAAAAAGCATTTTCTACTGTGGGGTCCCTCCTAACCTTCCTTCAAGACCTAAAGGGTGTTATTTTTTTTTTTTTTGTTATAAAAATGTAATTTTGTTAAAATAATGTCAGTCCTGCTGCAGCAGGTTCTATTCATTGTACAGATGTAAAACTTTGCAGGTAGTTTAAGGGGACCCCCCAGGCATGATATTTAAAGGAAGTTTTCATTTTTTTAAATACTTTGAGCAATGAAAAATAACTGCCCCTTGAAAAAAATGTTTTTCACTGATTCATGTCCCTCAGGGCAGTACCCAAGTCCCCTACCCCTTTTCTGGCCAAAACCTTGCATATAAAACTTCAAAACGGGCACTTTAATTTAAAAGTTTGAGTCCTGAAGACTTGTATTGAGTTCGAAGTTCGCAGTCGAACTATCGTTAGGTTTGAATGTTTGACCGCAAACCAAACACGGGGACACGGGCCCATGACTAGTCATGTCTCATGTCAGTGTGTGTCCATATCCTTTAAAAATGGCAAAGTATACTTCAGAATAGAACATTTATTTACAAAAAAAGATACTTCCTAAAAAATAAATAAGAAAGGCCTCCGGTTTTACATTTTGGCTTATGTATTATAATATGAAATTAATAATTCAGTTGGATAAAAAAAAAAAAAGATTGATTGTCCTAGGTAGCAGATTCTGTTTTGCAGTACGTCAGTAAAATGCAGTATATATTACCAACAAACCCTAATGCCTTGTAGTTGCTTAGATTTACTTGGATACATATAAAAGCCACAAACACTACTAAATGATTTACAGTTTTTCTAGATTAGCTCATTGTTATTTGTGTCCCACACGTCAAAAGTGTATTTCATTTTGGATCACTGAGTAAAATTCCCAGTTGATTCTGCAGGATCGAGGCAATCTGGCTTATTATGATTGATTACAATATGCACAGAGAAACCTAATGTTTTTGCTAAGCTTCTTATTTATTTTATGTGTATAGTAATTTTATTTGACCCACCAAGCTCACTGCTTTAGCTTTCTCATTAGCTGAATTTATATCTCTTTCAGGTGCCCATATTGCAAGCAGAACTAAAAGGAAAAAACTTGCTTGTGTAAACCTTTCATTTAAAATTTCTCTTGGTTTATAGTTGATGTGTGCTTATGAATCTTTTTCATGATACCTTGCAAAGAGTATTTTGTACTTCTAATTTATGATAGTCAAAATTCTAACACTGTTCCTTGTATAATGCTATACCCTCCTATACAGTGTTGTTTATTTAAGAGGATCATTTTATTGAAATAATGGAAAATGATCTATCTACTGTGCCAGGAACAAGTGTAGCACTACCCCGTTAAGGGATGCTTAGTAATTTTTGGGTTCCCTGTAAATCTGGACCTTTTGTTGAAAGCCCAACCTCTGCTGACACCACTGAGCTCTGGGAACCCAGATAAATCACACCTGTAAAATGGACTCAGTAGTATAGACCAAAATGAAGTTTATATTGGATTTGGAGGTAACCAAGTTAAGAATACCAAAATAACACTGGTATTGGCAGCAAATCGGATCCCTATAGGCGATTGTGAGCAAAAGTAACAACATTCAAAATAAAACAACAGTATTTGTTAGCAGGCCTGCTTTCAGAAAAAAATCCACTGCCTCCAGTCTGAGGGGACTGTTGAATCCCCAGTAAGCAGGAATGACTATCAATAACAGATAAGCTCACTGTGGGTCCTCAGAACTAGATAACAAGGATTTGAAATGTGAAATAAAGAGAATTCTCAGTTATAATTGGCAGTGCCCCCTTTAAGAGGTCTGCAATATATTCTGTGCGCTTGTTGGGGCCCAGTTGGTGTGAAGTTGCATTCGGGGGTGGATGATAGTTCCTCAGAATAGTCACATCAAAGATAGCAAAGGAAAAGGAGATGTCACGTACCTGGTTGGGGAGCCTGAAGTGGAGAGAGAGCGTCCTCTTACAACTCCCGCTCGGAGCCCCTGGAAGTGGGAACAGGGGCGCAGAGCTAGGAGGGGCAGGAGTGCCGTGTAGGTCTTGCAGCTGTCGGCAGGTAGTTGGGGGCCCAGGAGATCCGGACACAAGCCAGGTGTGGGTGCAGGAACGTAGGTGTAGCAGCGAGCAAGTAAGGCGGCAGTCCGGATGATGGGTCTTGGGACCGAGCACCGGTGCGCGGATGCGGTGGCTGACAGGTATGGCAGTGATCCGGATGTAGGCCAGGTGCAGAGCCGTAGGTGCAGCGGAAGGTGAATATGGTAGCTGACAAGATGCAGGTCAGGTGCAGGCAGGATAATACAGCAGAGTCAGGCAAGGGTCGATATCAAGATAAGTACAAAGGAGCAGGCAAAAGAATGGTCAGGGATAGCCGGGGTCAGTGCAGGCGGAGTACTCTCTTAGTTGGGTAATGCAGAATACAGGTATCAGGAAATGTATGCAGGAAGGTATAAGACCAGAAGGCATTTGATTTTACTACTTTGCAGGTTTAAATAGCCCAACTGGCGTGACGTGTATGCTCACTGCGCATGCGCGGGTCTTCCGCACTACCGCACATGCGCGGCCGCACGCTCCCGCACCTGCGCACTGGCACCGCCACGGCCCAAGGGAATCCGTCGCCGTGGTGCCGCTGCATGGCGGCGAGATCCCTGACAGGAGAAAAGCTAATACTCCCCTGATTGATGGCAAAGAGTTAGTGCAAGGTTCCCTTAAACAACTCCAGTAATTAATTGAGCTTGAAGTGGTAAATAGCAATAATTGGCATAAATGTCTATGGACAAAAATAACTTCCTCTGGATGTTGAAGGCAAACGATGAACAGTAGTAGCAATCCTGTTCTGCAGAAAGAGAGGGGGATTTGTGGGTTTAGTTGGCACTGCTGTATCTTTGTCTATAACTGTAGTTTGCATGTTCTCCCTGTGCCTGCGTGGGTTTCCTCCGGGTACTCCGGTTTCCTCCCACACTCCAAAGACATGCTGGTAGGTGAATTGGATCCTGTCTAAATTGACCCTAGTATGTGTATGTATGAATGTGAGTTAGGGACCTTAGATTGTACGCCCCTTGAGGGTTAGGGACTGATGTGAACGTACAATATATATGTAAAGTGCTGCGTAAATTGACAGCGCTATATAAGTACCTGAAATAAATAAAATAAACTGTAGGGCCCCCTCAGCTTGGATGATAACTGTACTGCATGTGCATTCCAACTATGGTGCTGGTATAACTAGGCCACAACTGGGGCAACCATTTGAAATTTTCACAACTACAGATAACTGAGGTGACGAACTATCAATGTTCACTTTGTTAGTGGATGCATGGGTCTCTCATCCGATCAATGTGGTTCGGTGGATGGCCGCGATCTGTCTTTCCTGATGGATAGAGACAGTTCATACACCCTAAAGTTTAGTCTTGGTATCCTGCTCTGTCTCCTTCCTGCTGTTAGAGTGGCCTGCTTTGCAGCATGCCAAACTAGGCAGTCAGTGAGTTCTTTCTGCTCTCTCTCTCTCCAATCCTGGCTCCGTAGCCTAGTTCAGCACTTCAGTCATCAGCACACCTACTTTCCTTCAATCCTCCCCACTCACCTGGCCAACCACATGGGCTTTGATATCTATATGCCCCGCCCACACGCTACCTCTCCTGGGAAATGTAGTCCCAAGCACTCTGCTTATCAGCCAAGTCCTGCTGTTCAGAAATACAAGTTCCAGAGGGCTGTTCTGTCAATGTGAATAATCCTGAATAGCAGTCCATTGCCATCTAATGTCCCTTTTAATGTATTGTGAGTAATAACGTTTCAATGAGTTAGACAAAAATTTCGACCCTTGATCATAGTACAGATTGACGCTGTTTTTTAAAATCTGTGTATAGTCATTTTATTTGACCCACCAAGCTCACTGCTTTAGCCTTCTCATTATCTGAATTTATATCTCTTTCAGGTAGCCATTTTACATAAGAAAAGCTTGCTTGCTTGCATTATTATTATACAGTATTACCTTGCAAACCATTAATTTAAAATCTCTTAGTTATAGTTGATATGTACTTATGACTCTTTTTTAATATTTCCTTGCAATGAGTATTTTGTGCTGCTAATTTATGATAATCAAAATTCTAACACAGCTCCTCGTGTGATGTTATACCCTCCTGTACACTGTTTTTATATTTAAAGTAGACATTTTATTTAAATAACGGAAAATTATCTATCTACTGTGCTATGAACAAGTATTTAGACCCTTGATCATATTATATTGACACTGAATGTTTTTTGAAACATTGCAATTTAATTGCAATTAAATTGTAATATTAGATTAAGGGCATGCAAGTAAAAGGTGACATATTATTTACCTTATGTACTTATATAACTGATTGTGTGACCAAAGAGATCCAACACCAACTGGCAATTACCCCTTACATACACTGGTTGGGTCACTTGTAGGCTTTCAAGAATGAAGTTCTAATTACAGAAGATAGGCCTCCTGGAACTAAATGTATGTGTGTGGATATAGATAAGGAAAAAAGAGAAAGCAATAACGAAGGCAGAGTGCCTGGGTCAAGCGGGTCCAAAAAGAGGTCAAACTGCGGCTTGTAATAAGAATGTATAAATCTTTAATTGCAGTAAAAAAACACACGAATCAAAGCACATGATAAAACAGAACAATAATGAAAGGAGTGAAACTCACCATTACCAAAGAGAAAAGTAGAAGAGAATGTGATGGTCGTCCAGGTGACGCCGCCAGGCTGTAGTCCCAACACCAGGAAAAAATTATATATAAACCAGATGAAATGGGTGTAAGATATTGGGAAAGAGGAATAGTACCAGATAAAACTGTAAAAGAGAAATCTAGGTCATGGAATTAACTATAACTCTACATCCACGTATGCCATTAACAATAGCCTGAATTACATATAAAAAGATAGGCTAGTGACATTCATAGTAATAAAGGCATATGACCAAAAAATAGAAGGTGAGACAAAAATTGATTCTCTGGAACGTCCTCAATGCTATATATGATGCAGGCCTGAATGTAGATATTTCTCCAGGTATAGCAATATATATCCCAAAAAGGACCGGGCTGTATTTATGCTTGCAAGGTGGATTTCACACTAGTGTGTGTGGTATGAAAATAATGTTCCATAAAAGGATAATGGCAGTATAGGTGATGGCTAGAATGTCGTATAAATTGCTTCATGCAGCCAATATGGCACACTTCAGCAGCCACAAAACGCACATTTCAATGAGAGATCAATGAATCATAGATCATAGTATAGTGACACGGACCCCGCAATATTCAGCCTATATGTATACTATGTGACAGTCATATCATGTATGCAGGCTCAACAACAACCTATTAATAGACCAGCATATATATATATAGAATTAGGCAGATGTAATAAACTTCAAACCTGCCACCAAATGAATATGAATCCAGGGTGGATGAAGTTCTGTGATGCTTGTTGGTGGTTCCCAAGTGTAGGTGATCGTTCATCAAACATATCAATGGTGTCACACAGGTTAGTATAAAGCATTAGATCCTACTGGTACTGTTGTGTATGTGGCACCATCACTGGTACATGTAGTGAGCTTCTGCCGAGTATACAGCGGAGTGGCTGAGCCTGCTTGTTTAAGCGATGTTCGGCAAAGTGTGCAGCAAAGCGGCTGAGCCCGACTCCGTGGCTGACAGGATCAGGTAAGGTGCTGCGGATGCTTGTGGTTTGGCTTCTCCGTCTTGAAAATGCCGGTCTAAGGTACTGCGCATGCGCCAGCGTCACCCGGAAGTGATGTAACGCGTTTCACCCACCGAGTCACGTGGGCTTCTTCAGATGCTAGCAGCCATGTTACATGTGTCCCATCATACATTCCTATTCACCCCCTCCTTTTAATATACTGGTGATGCATATCTGTATAATTCTGATCATTGAACTTTTGGTGGATGTATAAGATTAAAATAGATACTTCTGTCCCTTCCCTAATTGTTTTATAATTCACTTGTGTATAACACTCTTATTTGAATGTAATTGGTCTATGTTCACATCAGTCATAAGTAATTATCTGGTGAGATCTTATCATTGGCCAGAAGGAGTCTTATCGCTAGTATAAAAAGACTCCAAAAACATGGCTGCCAACATTTGAAGAAGGCCACTGACTCGGTGGGCAAAACACGTTACGTCACTTCTGTAAGCACTTCCATAAGCAAAAACAATGTATCAAATCAGCTTAAATCAGGGGTGCTCAACCTGTGGCCCGCCAGACAAATGTGGCCCTCTGAGCTTTCTTAAGTTGCCCTCAACCTCAAACCAGGGAAGTGCATGCCCGGGGTCACCAACCCATTTATCGCGATTTGGGCATACTTGTAGGCACTGCCCTCACATGCTGTTAACAGTGTCAACAATAACCTCACTGGATTTGAGAAGCGGGACAGTAATTGTATCATACTCACTTTTTAATGCATGAATATTGTGTTTGTGGTTCTTGCCATTCTGTGGTAACCTGTAGAGCAGGGGTCTCAAAACTGTGGCCCGAGGGCCAGATGATGTAGCCATTTGCTACCCTTTATCCGGCCCTTGGGGCCCTATTCCTCCAATTGAGACCAACCATGGTGCAGTACTTCTTCCCATGAAACCAATGATGGTGTACTATTCTTCCCACTAATACCAATAGTGGGGCACTAATCCCCCTCCTACTGATCAACAACCCTGAGGCCATGTTTATTCTCATTGATGGTGGGCCCAGGACATTTTCTGTCCTCACTGGCCCTAATCCAGCCCTCCTAAGGTCTGGCAGACAGTAAACTGGCCCTTTGTTTGAAAAGTGTGGAGACCCCTGCTGTAGAGGATTAGCTGTCCTCTGTATTTCTCTCCAGCAGCCATTTTGAGGAAGCGTTGTGCTCTGATTCGGCACAAACTCTCTCAAGATCTGAGCAGCCATTTTGTTTTGACTATTTATAAACAGAGCGCAGCCACTATTTTGAGGAGCTCTTGTGTGTGTATAGAAAGAGACAGATATATCCAGCCATGCGAAGGCAAGCTAGGCTTTACTTAGGGAGAGTGTTTCAGCCTCAGGGACAGAGCAGGGATCCTCTGGAGTCCTGTCTATCTTCACTGTTGCTGCGTTTGAGAAGAAAGACTATCAGAGTCATTATATATCCCTGCTATACCAAGACTGCTGCATTTGTGTCACCTGCTTATGGACACTAGCCTCTGGCAAGTAAGCATCATGTGCCATATATAACACATCTGTGCTTGTAGTGAGGATATAGCAGTGCCAGCAGAATTAAGCTGCAATCCATATCTTCTGTGAATGTACTGTGTACCTGTGCCTTATAAGCGTGTAAGCAAACCATTTATCTGCACTTTTATAAATAGTATGTTCCACTGCCTCCTATCCAGCAATCAAAGCTACTTTGCAATAACACACAGTGTGATCCCCTTTATCAAATAGCCACACTTTAGCCTGCCTACATACTGACCTGACATCCCAGAGCATCAGAGTGCATTGAACCTGTGCTGGCCACATGAGCCAGTGATTCCTCTGTAGCGCCAGCTCCTATCCCAGGCGGAGGGATGCCAAGTGCACTTCACCTGGGACCTTTCTAGCAGCCTCGAGAGTGATGCCAGCAGATGCTGGAAGAAGAAAAAAAGGGTCAGTGTATTAAACATCACATACACTTCGCTATTGCAATGGGCATATCAGCACCTATAAAAGGGTTGACAACTATTAGGCTGCTTTCACACTGATCCATGGGTGCAGCTCAGTGCTCCTGTGGCTTTCCTGCTGCACCTAGTCATACACTTCTATTATATCCTGCAGGTTTTGTGTGCTTTCAGAAAGTGCACCGCACCTGCAAGATATAATAGAAGTCTATGGCAAAGCGCAGATAACCCGCAGGAAATCTGCAGGTGCACTGGAGGCAGGGGCGGACTGACAACTCATGGGGCCCCCGGGCAATAGGGGATCATGGGGCCCCTGTGTCCTTGCCCACACTCAAAAAAGCCTATAAAAAAGGTACCAGGGGCATTTCATGGGGCCCCCTACTGACCCCGGGCCCTTGGGCAGTGCCCGAGTGCTTGAATGGTCAGTCCGCCCCTGACTGGAGGTGCAGGTAAACTACTTTGCATCAGTATGAAAGCAGCCATACTCCAGGGGGCCCTGTGCACAGAAGGGGCTGCAGAACCTTATTCACCCCCTTGATATATTTAAAGGTTTCAGTCATGTCTCCCCTTTCCCCTCTTTCCTCCAGACTGTACATGTTAGGTTCCTGAAGTCTCTCCTGGCATGTTTTATCCCCCAAACTTTTCACCATTTTTGTTACCTGTCTCTGGACTTCTATCTTATCAATATCTTTTTGAAAGAGAGGTCTCCAGAACTGGACACCGTATTCTAATTGAGGTCTCACTAAAAAGATCTATATAGAGGAATCAGGACCTTCGTCCTGCTGGTTACAGTATATAGATTCTAAACAATAGTGCAGCGTGGGGGTCAGCAACCTATTGATCGTGATTGACTGCGAGGAGACAACGGGTTGCCGCTCTGCTCCACACACGCTAACAGGCAGGCAGTGCTACCTGTGTCTGTGATATGAAGGGGACACAAGAGACACTGTAGAGGGGGTGGGCTTAGGAGACACTGTGGGGGGGATGACACAGGGCACTCTGTGGGGGGGGGGGGCTTAGGAGACACTGTGAGTGGGGGGCTTAGAAGATACTGTGGGAGGGGGGACACAGGAGACTCTGTGGGGGGCTTAGGAGACACTGTGGGAGGGGGTACACAAGAGACTCTGTGGGAGGGGGGCTTAGGAGACACTGTGGGGGGGATTAAGAAACACTGTGGGGGGGGGGCAGAGAAAACTACAGTGGGGGGATTTTGATGAGAAAAGGACAGGGGACACTGCTTTTGCAGATGGGGAAGCAGAGGACACTTTGAGGGGGGAAGAGAACACTGCAATGTGGCAGGATAGAAGACACTACACAGTGGGGGGTGGTAGTTATGTGAAGGGGGGGCAGAGGACACTGGTTTGGGGGGGTACAGGACAGTACTGGGGGAAGGGGGCAAAGGGTATGATAGTGGGGGGATGTGGTGTGAAGGGGGGTAGGGGGGGGGGTAAAAGACACTACTGTGTAAAGAAGGGGTCAAAGGACACAACATTGAGGGTACAAGACACTACTGTGGAGGGGGGGGGGGGGGGGTGATGAAAAGGGGACAGAAAACCAATTGGGTTCCCAAATGCAAAACACAAATAATGAAAATTGTGTCCATAAAAAATATGTAAACATAAAATGTGCAATGCAATCTGAGCCATATAATAGAAATAAAGTGCAATCTGAATTATATAACATAAAGTCCATAATAAGACCCATAAGGAATAATACACAGAAGTGGTGCAAAATGAATCCACCACAGTGCTTCAAAAGTGATGATTTCTTATAGTTTACTACATGAGAGTCCTAAACGTGCCTCTACCAAAACCGTGAACAATGGCCGCTCACCTCCAATATATGACCAATGATTCAACAGTAAGGTAAACACTTTCCGCAATTAATCCTCTGGTGTCTTTACAATCTTCCTTTCCCCTCATCAACGGGCTGCATAAAAAACCTTTAATACTGCTCAATAATAAAATTTCACTTACAAGATAAGGTATTTTTCCACTAAGGTGTTAAAGAAGATCGCATGTACACAAGTCCACTGTCAGATGAAAGCAAGATGACCATAGAATGACATCACAGATAGCCTCCTCCCTTCCTTACATGTGTAACATTCCAGGGCAGGGACTTCTTCAGTGGTCATATATTGGAGATGAGTGGCCATTGTTCACTGTTTTGGTGGAGACACCGGACCAGCCAAGCCACATTCCGCCCTCTGAGGAAGGCACTGTTGGTGCAACTGAACCTGCTGTTGTCTCAAGTCACATGGAACTGTGATTGTTTCTTGGTATGGTGCTCTCCTGCTGGGCTATCTGTTGAGTTGAGCCTTTCCTTTAATACAAGTTCCTGCAACCATGCTCCACCTACCCACAAGCATTCTACTTTTTGAAGCCCAAGGCAAAAGTGCAATGCTACCCCTCAAGATCCCTATTTTAGGCTCCATTAATTGTACAAAATTTAGCCACCTGAAAACTGGGGAAATGACTTTGAACCTCATGTTTTGTTGCTTGAAGCTCGAAGCTCCAAAAAAAGTTCAAACTTAAAAAATCAATTATTCTCTATGGTGCCTGTTCACATCTGATCGCGCAAATAGGCACCACAAAGAACAATTGAGTTTTTTAAGTTTGTGCTAAACTTTGAGCTTCAAGCTACAAAATGCTCAAGTGTGAATGCAGCCACAAGGTTAGGAGATTGTCTATTAGAATGAAGGAAACTGTCCTAGAATGAAGGTGGGACATGAAAGAGAACTACGCATAGCATACTTGTTTGTGTCATTAATGTTCTACAAGAGTTGACTGCAGTGTGAGTTGCTATAAAAATACCTTAAAGTGGAATTTCACTGTATCTGAGCACCACCAACCAAAGACAGGAGTTATGATGAAGCGCTGAGGTTAGCGAGATATGCGTGAACCTTTTAAACCCACTGGCATACAGTATGGTGTTTTTAAGCTGCTTTTCTATACAATAAAGTGGGTATGTGCTTTAGTGCGGCCTCCTGGACTTTCCTTTGATCTAAACCAAAAACACTGTTTAATTAATTTTTATTATTCAACGCAAACCCCCCACCACCCAATCCATCCATGTCTCCATGCTTTATTTTGCAGAGAAATACAATTGAAAAACACCCCCTATCATTACTGGCCATGACCATATGATTCATGTAGCATTTACTTCCTGGAATTTATCTGCCCTTAGCTCAGGCATGCAGGCAGGAGGGTGTGCTTAACTAAGAAAACCCCTTCTGAAGACTCCTGGGATATATGACATAATTTGCCTAGGCATGGAAACCAGGAAGTAACTGAAGAAATGCAAAAAAAAATTAAAACAAGTAAATATGATATATTTTCCTATCTATTTGCTAATGCTAGATGCATAAGTATTAAAAATAGCCAGTGTTGACTGAGAGGGTGAAGTTCCACTTTAAAGATGAACTCCAGGAAAAAAGCTAAACACACAGATGAAATGCATACATGAAATGTCTTTTATCTACAAAAGGATCTCTAATTCTGTCCATCTAGTTCTGAGAGTTACACAGCTCTACCGCACAGCCCTGTCTGGATTGGCTGGGGACCTGATTTTTATTTGCTGAGGTTCAGTAACACATACAGGTCTTCTCCCCACCCTCAGCCTGTAATTGGACAGTGAGAGAAGAAGCAGCAGAATGACAAGCCAATCTCTATGTCTGTCTGCTCTCTCCTCCTACAAGCATCTTTTTTACACTGCAGCATACCTGTTGTGTTGCTTCTTCCTCTCCCAGTCTGAGCAATAATTTGTGTCTTTAACCTCCCTGGCGGTATGATTATTTCAGATTTTTGGTGCTGAAAGCGGTACCATTTTTTTGCATGGAAATATGTATTTTTTTTATTGTAGGCTGTAATTTTTAGGAATAACTCACTGAAATCTGTCTGAACAAGAGTCCAGTAAACATCCCGGGTATGATAAAATTTGAAACACAAAATCATAAATTATAATTTAATAAATAATCATAAAAATAATATAAAAATAATAAAAAATTTAATTCAATAATATAATCAAACCAAAAACACTGAAATGTGAAATAGAGCGCCAAGTTCGCACATTGCTGAGCTCAGTCGCAAAATCGTTTTCAGTTTCTGATGACGAATTTCCCCCACGAATCATTATCACTCAATTCTGTAAGTGGTTCTGATTTACTATCGCTGTTCTCTAGCTGATCTAAACCGCTTTTGACCTAAAGGGACACTTTTTGGACGCCATGGACATTTCTCAGTTTCCAGGCAGAAAGAACAGACAAAATGCAGGCAGGGCGCAGGACAAAGCACTCGGGACAATATGTATGTGAAATAGGTTGAAACAGCAATGTTTTACTGTGTAAAATGAAAAAAAAAAAAAAAATGACATTTTTTAAAATTTTTAAATTTCCCGCCGCCGCCGGCGGCGGCGCCCGTACGTCCCGACGTCACAGGGACAGGACACAGAAGCCGGATGCCGGCATCGGCCGGAGGAGATGGCCGGGGACGCTGCAGGGGACACATCGTGGGAGCATAGGGTAAGGTAAGTGAAGAACACATGCCGGAGCAGCGCCGCATGGTATTCCCGAGTGTAGCTCGGGGTTACCGCTTTTGGTACTGAAATGTTACCCCGAGCTACACTCGGGAATACCGCCAAGGAGGTTAAAGGGTAACTCCACTTTCATGGGGAAAAAAATAGCAAAAAAAAAATAATATAGCATATACAACTTTGACACAAATCATATTGTAATGGAATGTTATTAAACATTACCTTTCCTTTTCAATCTGCAGCACTGTCATTTTCTATAAAATGCAATGTAATATGTCTACCTGGAGGTGTTCTGGCCCCCAGGAACATCATTTCCTGCTTGTGTGATTGGCTTATTGATTTTCACAGAAGACTGCACTAAGATACAAGTCAAATTTCTGGCATCCCCTGCAAGAAAAATGCAATTTTTGGTGAGGTACTCCCAATAGGAAATCTTGTCTAAAGTGATGCAGACCCTGCTACTTTCCTCATTAGAGCCCTGCAGGTGTAGCAGCTGACTGATAATTAGGAAATCACTCCCATTAGATCAGTGTTTCTCAACTCCAGTCCTCATGGACCCCCAACAGGTCATGTTTTCAGGATTTCCATTATTTTGCACAGGTGATTTGATCAGTTTCACTGCCTTAGTAATTACCACAGCTGTTTCATCTGAGGGAAATCCTGAAAACATGACCTGTTGGGGGTCCATGAGGACTGGAGTTGAGAAACACTGCATTAGATTCACTTTCCACATGGATAGAGACAAACAAATAGCTCTTTCTTCAGAATAGGTAGGACTCTGCAACAAAGTTTGTTAAAATTCTTGCAATGTATATAGATCACCCAGAGGGGAATGCTTTTTTTCTCAACAAAAGTGGAGTTACCCTTTAAAATCTGCCTGTAGTTCAGCTTTGATTAGTAGAACTAAA